ACATGATACATTTAATGTGTTTCCATTATATATATATATATATGCTGGAATGATTTCATAAATATATTTATAATGATAAAAACATGCATTACCAAAGTAATGCTGAGATAATAAATGTACAACTTTAATGGAATAAAAAACTTAAGAACTAATGAATATCTTGAAAAAATAGACATGTGTTGGTAGTAACATTACTATTATTATGACACTACATGGTTTGTAAGTGTGATTTTTCCTTTCTGTTTTACAAATAATAGATGGACACCAAAACATTTTATGGTGCAAGGCCACGGAATTTTCTGGCCCTTATACCAGAAAATCCTCAAGACTCTGACGTTGATCTGTGTGATGATGGCGACAACCAAATAGAGGAACCTGATTATCAGCCCACACAAGCAGGAGATGAGGACAGTTCTTTTGAATCCATGGATGAGGAGGAGGTTGCCTCATCTTCTAAACAACCGAAGAGTAAGAAGAGGAGAAAAGGACAAAACAACCTAAGAGCAGTTTCCTTGGCAGAGCTAGAGGACACTGCTGACCCTAAATCACCCTCAGGCCTAAACAGAGGCACTCAGAGAATGTGGAAGTTTGAAGACATTGAGGCATTCCAGTTTCCTGATTCAAGATTTGAACTCCCTGATGACGTAAAGACACCCTTCCAGTACTTCAAAACACTCTTCACTGACAAGATGATTCAACATATTGCTGAACATACCAATCTGTACTCTGCACAGGAGTTGGGCGATCCAATCAAAACTACCCCCGAAGAGATTGAAGATTTCCTGGCAGTACTACTTTTCATGGGTGTTTTCAACTTCCCAGCCATGGATGACTACTGGCACCACCAGTCACGTTTCAGTGTGATAGCTGATATCATGTCAAGTAAGAGATTCAAGCTGTTACGCCGGTTCATTCATTTTACTGACAATCAGCAGGACAATAACAGTCCGGACCGGTTTCAGAAAATCCGCCCCCTTTTTGAGATGCTTCGTGAGCAGTGTCTCCTGATCCCATCCACTTACAAGCACAGTGTGGGTGAAGTCATGGTGGCATATAAATGCACAAGGGCTGGTACTCTCGGCCAATACATTGCCAACAAGCCAGACAAGTGGGGCTTTAAATTGTTCTGCCGGGCCAGTCCATCTGGCATCATTCATGACCTACTGCTCTATCAAGGGGCATCCACATTTTTTAATGTGGCCCTCAGTGAGGAGGAGCAGGTGCTGCCTCTAGGGGCCAAACTGGTGACAACCCTCAGCAAAACAATAACACAGCCACGGCTTTCAGTTATCTTCTGTGACAGCTACTTCACCAGTTTCGACTTGCTCCACAACCTGCATGCAAACCTGGGTGTCAGGTGCATTGGCGCTGTCCAACCAAACGGCATGGGTGGAGCTACCATGATGACAGACAAACAGCTGATGAAGGAAGGACGTGGAGCTCTTGACTACAGGTCTGCTGAAGGAGTGATCGCAGTGAAATGGTTTGACAACAAATGTGTCAGCCTTCTTAGCAATGCCTGTGGGATCATGCCTCTTTCAACTGTCAAACGGTGGAGCAAAGATTCCCGCACAAAGATTTCCGTCCCGTGCCCATCACTCGTTACTGCCTACAATCAGCATATGGGAGGCACTGATCTTTCTGACATGCTGGTACACCTGTACAAGACCCCAGTCAAGTCGAGGAGATGGTACATTCCCCTGTTTGGATACATCCTTGACCTGTGCATCTCAAATTCCTGGCTGGTCTACAAGAGGGACTGTGGCCTACTGAACGAGAAACCAATGCCCCTCAAAAGGTTCCGTCTGGCAGTTGCCCACAGTTTGGTGCAAGTCAACAAACCACCATCCAAAGTTGGCCGACCGTCACCTTCCTCTCCACCACTGATGTCATCTCAAAGGAAACACACTACCACAAAACCCTCACAACCACAACCAGATGTGCGTTACGATAACTGCGGACATTTCCCACTTCACTGTGACAAGCGAGGGCGGTGCAACTTATGTCCAAAGGGGGTGTCGAGATGGAAGTGTCAGAAATGCAATGTTTTCCTGTGTTTGAATGCCAACCAGAATTGCTTCGCAGCATACCACCAGAAATAAAGTAGAGCTTATGCCAGAAACGTTTGTGTTGTTGTACACAGATGAGCAATCTGCCATTATGTAACACACTGATCCTTTATCTCAGTAGTTATCTAAGCCTGTCTGAAGGCTGAGCGTGCATGTACTTGTTCTTCTGAAATACTCAAAGAACAGAAATATTTACTTGATTTAGTGTTTGCCATGTTGGTAATATTCAACAATCAATGAAGTTACCGTGTAGTGCATACTGTTTGTATGAACTCCCCTATAAACTCTAGCTACAATAGCTAATTAGGAATGAAGTGCTGAATTTGCCTTCTCTGCTGCTGACTGTCATAAAGAAGTTAGAATTTTATGTTTTCTAAAATTGTTGGTATTAAAATTTATTTTGATAACCTGATAATGAAGAGCCATCTCAACCGCTTCACAGAGCACTGTATCAAAAAAACTAGCCTATTGGGTCTGTTTAACTTTTTTTTTATTGATTATTCTATTGATGACCTAATGAAAAAAAAAATTCCATCAGTTTTTTCTTGGTGACGACTTTAAAGGGTTTTAACATGTTTTATTTGTTTTTAGAAATATTTTTCAAAGCTCAATATGAGATGAAAATTAGTCTACAATGTTATTTAATGATTTATTTTCTGTTTACTTGTGATGTGAATCCATTGTGAACTTCTTGTAAACCATTAGAAGTTTGTAATAAAAATGTGTAGTGCTTTAATAAAGTGTGTTGATTTATCCCTCGAAAAACTAAAGGGTTGTGGACCAATAAGTCATTTATAGATCATCTGTACCATTGATTGTGAATGATCCACCTGCAAATCATCATTAGGCAGTAAGTAAAGTAAAATACTTTTTTAATATTTTATTTTGAGCACAGTACTCAAATCAGAAAGGCAGAATAAAAGTTGGGTTTGGCTTCATCCACACTACTAGCATTGTCAGCATTGTACTATAACATTATTGTATTATTTTATACTTGGACATTTTTTGATTTCCTTACTTTTTACATATTTATATTTATGTTCATGTGTACTGTAAGCATTAATTTATACCAAGGCAAATTCCTAGGTGTGAAAATGTACCTGGCAATTCATAGTTTTCAGTCACTTGACATGCGCGGTGACCTGGAGGGCAAAACAACAGACCAACATAGCGGCTCACACTGCGACTCCCCCGTTGAGACGCCGTAAAAGGGATCACCTCTCAACTCAGGAAAAAGAAAGATATGAACACAAACTGCAAGTGTTGGGCACTTCAGATCCATGTTACAGCATTCGCTGCCTCATTTCCACCCTTAAAAACTGCCAAGTCCCTGCCGCCACCGACTGCAGTATGTTTACGTTCACCTTGTAGGGAATCCCTCACCTAACACAGCCCAGGCTTGTCTCTTCCTCGATTAGTGTATCCGAAAGCACAACTACCATCCTGCATTTTGGGAACGCAAAAGTAACAAACTCAAAATAATACTGTGTCACTTGCTTCCTGGTTGACAGGCAGCAGAAAATAACGTTTTTTTTGCCCTCCAAGGGAACGTTTTCCTGGGAATGTGGAGTCACCTGAAAACTACTCTATGTTTTCGTTTTAAAACACAGGCTTTCACATTTGACTTCCTTATTGGGTCTTGTGAGTCATGCGTTTAAATGAAATGGTCAAATTTAAATTATAACTAAATAAGATGTCTACAGGTAATCACATTTGTAAATCAATGACTTATGAATGAATGAAAAATGAAAATAAACTGTCTGGTACTACTGGTATTTAGAATACCACTTAGGCCTAAGTAAATTCCCCCCATGCAGCTTTGATGTGTCTAAAAGCTAACATTACAGTAACTTTTGTTCAACAGGAGAAATGGAAGAAGAGAAGACTTGTTAAAATCATGGCTTTTCACTGGTTGTTGACATAATTGTAGTTCTTTTACAGTAACAAGAGGTGTGAGTGCAAAGATTTTAGAAGCAACGCATATCCTGGGGGTTAAGCCTCCCCTGTCTTTCAATCCCAGTGACGTCCCTGGATATTCCCACAATTGACAGTTTCTAATAGAATGGACTCTCCAATGCAAAGCTTCAATATTATAAAAGAGGAGAAAGTGGACAGAGAGGAGTTCTAACATCCGTTACTTGGTTCAGGAATATCTGAAGAAGAGCTGCTATCATTAACTTACTGCAGGAAATCTAGAAGAAAAACACAAATGGCACAGATTATTACAAACTTCAAAGGTCTGTCAGAAGGAGAAGTAATGGAGGTAAATGTAGGAAGGAAGATGTTATTGTTTTTAAGACACACAACACTACTACTACTTTACAGCATGAAAAAGACAGAGTCATAAATGTGAGATTGTAAGGAATATGTTGAACTTGTAGTACTGATGGGCTGTAGGAAGTTCAGTGTAGAAGGACAAAGACTGAAGGACAGGGTGGTAGATATGTAAAGGGAGTGGAGCGTCAAAGGTCTGATGTTACACACTCCGGTCCAGCAGGTGGCAGCACGCACCAATAACGTTGCTTTGTAGTCCGCCCAGAAAACCAAACACCAAAGAATATTTCCGGTGGCTAAAATGTTAATTTTCCCGTAACCATAAGATAAAGCAGCAGAGCCTGCATGTGAGGATCAACGTGTTTAAGTGGACTCTGTTTAAACTTTCGGGATGTTTCACCTCAGACTCATCTCCTGTTAGCCAAGAATGCTAAAGGAAGTTAGCTTGTCAGCAGGAAGTAGCCGGAGCCGGAGCTCGGCCTCACAGTGTGTATTTTATCAGAGTGAGCTGCGTGTCTGTAACGGAGTGTGTCTGGAGGAAAAGCTGCTGTAAACATGTCTAAAGTCCAAACGCTGAGAGCTTTTGTCCAGCAGCGACTAAGTGCGGCTGCTGAAGAGATATTTGAGCTGTTTGAAAGAACGATAGCAGAGTACGAGGAGGAACTTTGTGGACAACGCAAACTACTGGACGCTGTTTTCAAGCCTGAAGTCCGGTTACACAGAGCAGGTTTGTGCACTTTACTGCTTATTCTCACTGGAAACTGCCTTTACTGCAGTAAAAGTATGTGAGTATTATCAGCAACATGTACTTACAGTATGACAGTAAAAGTACTCACAGTGCAGTAAAATGTTCCTGTCAGAGTTTCTCTGTTATATCTGATAAATATTCCTGCTGCATTAATGTGGATGCTGCATTTCACTGTTGGCGATGTTTAAGGTTAACATCAATAAATAATGTTCACGTGCTACAAAGAAATAGCACTGAGCATGTGATGCTGATAACATTTCTATAAGTTTATGTAAATCTTAGCAACGTAGATTTGGTGGCGTGGGGTCCAGTTTCACATCATTTTCGACCATTATTATTACCATATCTGTAAAAAGCTCGATCAGATAGATGCTATGAACAGTGATTTAATATTCATGGCACAGCACCAAGCCGCCTTTTGCCTCACCACCTTTATAATGTCAAAACCCTGTGTATGTGCTCCTCCATGGTCACCACCCTCCAGGACTTTTTTCTCTCTGCCTGATCTCGAGAAAGTCATCCATGCTTTTATTTCATCTAGGTTAGGTTATTATAATTCATTGTGTTCAGGGCTAAGCAACATATATTAACATATATTAATTAACTAAACATCAAACGATATCAGTATGAACCAAATTGTCTAATTGTAATTTTATATCTATTTTGTAATTATGTCAGTATATCACGTAATACCGATACTGTCCAGTCCTAGTCAGCCCTAGTATTCTGTACCATTGCTTGCATATGCGCTTGCTTGTATCCTTCGCCGGCATCCAATCACAAGTGATGAATACTTGCCAATCACAGCATGGCAGGGCTCTCTGAAACTCTGGCAAGAAAAAACAATTCGATGCAACCGGAGCAAAGGAGATGAGAAGACGGCGCTGTGAGTGAGAGGAGGCTCTGTGGGCTGTCTGGGAGAAGAGAACCAGTATCGATGCTGTGAAAATTGAGTATTAAAACCATTTAAAATATTCAAAATCAACGATAATTTGACAGCGCTAACAATGTACATGATTGACAGCATAAAACCTGGACTATATGCCACAATATGGCCTCTTCATATTTTTAACTGTAGATGTTTATCTGAATTCAGGACTAGTGGGTTCACATGTGCATGTAACATGAGCGTGGAGTCGCTGCTGCCTGGATCACAAACATTTTATGGTATATGGCCAATTTTGTTTGAATGACTTACAAATATGTTGTACAAAATATGCATCATTTCTACACACTTTTAAGAAAGCAGTGGTGTCAGTGGTTTAAAGGTTAACTGGAATTTTTCTAAAACGTGTGCATTTATTTCATTATTCTCCACAGATGTCCAGCTGCTGGTGAGTAAAGAACAGGTTCCCCCTGAGCAGCAGGAGAGGAGCCTCAGTCTGGACCAGGAGGACCCACCAGAGCTCCCACAAATTAAAAAGGAGTGGCGCCTCAGTCTGGACCAGGAGGACCCACCAGAGCTCCCACAAATTAAAAAGGAGTGGAGCCTCAGTCTGGATCAGGAGGACCCACCAGAGCCTCCACACATTAAAAAGGAAAAGGAGGGAGAGCAGCTTCGAGGGCTGGAGGAGGCTGATATCACCAAGTTCCTATTCACTCCTGTCCCTGTGAAGAGTGAAGAAGACAATGAAGAGAAACCTCAGTCCTCACAACTTCATCAAAGTGTAACTGAACAGATGGAAACACAAGCTGATGGAGCGGACTGTGGAGGACCAGAACCAGCCAGGAACTTGGATTCAGATAGACATTTACAACCTGAGACTGATGACACGTCCCACTCTGAACCTGAAACTGATGACAGTTGTGATTGGGAGGAGACCAGGGAACCTCAGTCAGGTTCAAACCCTCTGCGAAACAATGAAGTACCTGTAAGTGATCAGGAATGTAATACTGGAAAAACACCAAGTAGCTCTTCGGAATGTGCTACAAGCTCTGGCCACAAAGAACATCTGCAGGAACACAACGAACTCCGAACAGCAGAGAAACCATTTAGATGTTTAGATTGTGGTAAAAGATACTCGGGGAGGAAGTCCTTAAGGAATCATATGAGACTTCATTTAGAAGGAAAACGTTTCAGCTGCTCAGTTTGTACAAAAACCTTTCAATCAAGCAGTGAGGTTGTGATGCACATGAGAATCCACACAGGGGAGAAACCATACAGTTGTTCCATATGCAGTAAGAGCTACTTCAGGAATAAGTCATTAAGGGAACATATGAGACTTCATTCAGAACAAGGTTTCAGCTGCTCAGTTTGTAAAAGAATTTTCAGTGACAGAAGCTCTTTGTCTAGACACACAGTAATTCACACAGGGGAAAAACCCTTCAGTTGTTCACTTTGTGGTAAAGGGTTCTCACGAGGCCAAACACTGACCCAACACTTAAGAGTACACACAGGAGAAAAACCTTTCCCATGCTCAGTTTGTAAAAAAAGTTTCAGTCACAGGACTACTTTGTCCTCACACATGAGAATTCACACAGGGGAGAAACCATACAGTTGTTCTGTTTGTGATAAAAGATTCACTCAGCACACTCAAATGAAAAATCACAGGTGTGCTGGTGAGAGCAGTGGAAGTAAATGAAGCTGCAGAAATTTGTGTTGAGCTGGTTCCCTCCAGCAGGATTGAAGTACTGAAGGCAAGACTTGGCTCAACACTGATCAGTTCAGAACTGTGAGACAGACGTAGTAGTGCTTTACAGCAGTCTGGGACTGTTCTGTTTGATATTACATGTATTCATTGAATTAAAGTATGTTTTACAATTAGAACTTATCTCTATTATATTTCTAAATGAAAACACCAAGCAAATATGAGGAGGTCAGCAGTGTGCCGTTGAACCTGATGAAAATGCATGCATGGGGATTTAAAAAGCCATCATCAATGGAGCTCTGGGCCGGTATTTATCAAGCTTCTCAAGTGCCATTTTAGTCTTAAGTGCTAAGAATTCATGAAATTTTCTCCTACTAAACTTGAGAATAAAAGCAAGTTATCAAATTTCTTAAAGCTGAGAATCACTCTCACTCTCCCAGTTATTTAAGACAGCTCGAGGTCTCTCCAAGTGGTTAGGTGCCAGTAGGGGCTTGTGATGGCGCTGTGGAGACAGAGACATGCATCTGAATTATTTGATGACGCACAGTTGATAAGACTGGGTTGGACAGCGCAGGCATAAACGTTGTCAGCGAGTTGGTGCTGATGATGATTTTGGCTCGTCACAACCATCAAATCGCCAAATAGACGTGGAAACAATTACAGCACTTTTGGCTACAGCTCCACACGTTGTCACACGTTTCATCAACTTCCCAACAACACCCAGGAGACAGAAGCAAACACAGTTCATGCAAATAACCGGCTTTACGGGAGTAGTAGGTGCATTGATGGTGCTCATGCAAACATAAACTTTTTTGTCTTTCATTTATTAATGTCTAGGCCTATATCATAATTTATTCTCTTAATTGTTATACATGTAAGTAAGTAAGTAATTCTGAGAAGCTTGATAAATACGGGCCCTGATAGTACAATTCACCATGGCAACATGGCGTCTTATTTACATTGCTCATCTTGCTCATTTCGCATTTAATAAAATGCTCTTAAAACACATTAACACTGTTTTTTCAGCCAATATTCAGAAAGTCACTTGTCTCCAACATGACAGGAATATTCCATCAGTGTGACTAATCACTAGGGCTGTCCCGACTAAGGATTTACATAGTCCAATCAGAATCGTCAAGTCCTGCCTATAGTCGACTGATAGTCGAATCATGTAAGTGTTTTTGTTCGTGGCGATTTACGTGCATTACTGCTGCCGACAACTGCGTGCACGTCGCGGTTCCCCGCGGGTCTATTTCAAGTAGCCGGCTATTTAAAAACGATAAAATATTCTTTGTGTGGTTCATCAACAGTGATAAATTATCCAAAGTCCTGCGAGGTTCGGACAATTCGGCACAACACCAGTGAAGCTGGAGCTCCGTCTCTTCAGCAAGCATTCCTCCACTGCCACTGCACACTACGCCTACACGTGCGCACTCACGCACTTCAAAAACATTTACGGAAAGTTTGATTCTTTTTACATGTTTATTTACAGCATGAAACGTTGAAATGTGTATTGTAACAGGCTGTATATTAACTTATTTGGTGAAAACTGGTAGTTCTATGTAAACTCTGACGTTGAGCACCCCCATATCGCCAAAATGGCGTGATCCTTGTTTCGCTGCGAAGCTTTGACTGTAAGATTGACAGTCGAATCAGGCTCCGCCCATCGAAGCATTGCATCTTCCACTATTCAGGGTCAGTCCTACTAATCGCAATAAGACTAATGATTGTTGATTGATTAGTTACAGCTTTATAGATTAGTTTGATTTAAACAGTGATTACTGCAGTAATGTAGGCCACTGTATTTGTTGCAAATCTGGCTGCTTCCTTAACATCCACAGAGTCACAGTGTTATAAATCAATTAGTGTTGCCTATCAATTTTATTGTGTATGTGTGTGAAGGAAATTAGACTGCCTCATTATTCAAATAACATTGAAGCCAACTTAAAGATGTAGGTTCTCCCATCTGATCTTTTGAATTCAAAATATTGTCCAAGTAACAAGTTTTTTTGTTGTTGTTTTTGTGTGTTATTTTTTCAAACCAGTGTCCTGTACTGCAAACCGAGGTAACTGGCTTATCCAGGTAACTTCAGGAGTAACTTTGTGACGTCGGGTGTAACTTTCCAATTAACTTGTTCTATGAAAGGTGTTACCCGAGGTCTGCTGCCATGGCAATTTACGCTGCATCTCTAAACTGCTCTGAGCAGGTTATTTACGTGGTTAACTAGAAGTAACCCATATATTAATTTACACAATAGTATTACATTTATATAACGATCCCTGCAGCCTCAGTGATTTAGGGAGAAGACCTTAATTAGGCTAATTAACTGTCCAATTTCTGTGAAGTACGTTAAACAATAATTGAATTGTTTTAAATGTTTGCCCATATTTTATGTGACTATTTTACTTGTTCATAGCCACTCGGCTATGAACAAGTAAAATAGGGGGTTAATAATCCTAGAAAAAAATCCTAGATGTAAATGGTAAGTTTGCAAGAATGAAATTCCCTGAGATTTAAGTAAAAAAATAAAGATCACTCTGTAGTTTTCTTCTGAATAGATACAATTCACGGCTAAGTCTCTAAAGTCCCAGTGTGGTGATAATATGGTGATTGTAGGCTGAAATCTCAAGTATTTCCTCATTGCTAAATCCGATTAAGAAGTTATAATATACTTAATATTATTTTCCGCTCTTTGCGTAAACAAGGCAGAGGTGTGGATGTATGTTATACTGCAGCCTTGCAGGGCTGGCTGGGCCCCTCATCTGGGCTGGCCTCGGGTTTGCGGGGCCCAGGGGCCGCTGGCTGTGCTTGCACTCGGGGAAGGGGGCTGCTGCGCCCCCCGTTCTCGCTCCGTGACTGTAGTGGGCCCCCTGGCACGGCGCTCTGCTGTCGACGGGGAATGTGGTCTCGGATCCTTTGCACTTTGGGAAGGTTGCAGGGTCCTCTTGCTGCCTGCCGCCGCGGCCGATGCGGCACAGTTGCTGCGTTCCACTCTCACGAACACCTACATCCTGTGACAGGCTGAAACAAACGCACACAAACAAATTTAGGTTGTACATTGTTATCAACAGGTAGTTGAATTATTCTTTATGCATGTCAACAGGTCATTTATTTAAAGTAATTTATTATTATTTCCCTCTTGTGGCTGTGCTGTGTTGTTTAGTTGGTTGTCTCTTGTTGGGATAGGAGCCATACTGGCCCAGGATGCTGGATGGACGCTGCATCCCACATGTCCCAACTTTTTATGTGAATTTGAAAACCATATTGTTATGACAATCTTCTTACTGCTGTTAAGTTCTACCAGAGGCTAATTCACAAAATGCACTGCATAATTATTTCCATTATGTAAGTGGCATAAAATGGTTTTAAAATAACAGTGATATAGTTTATCACAACTATTTCTGGGACAATATATCGTGAACACAAACATTTCATAAACATTTCTTTTGATCACAATACATTTATTTTAGTGCAGTACACATTCACGGCTTTGTTTTGAACAAACATATAACTTGACATTATATTTAATCTAATTTCATTAACTGCAGGTATGTGGTGTTTTTCTCATTTATTGGGTGTGTCAGAGGTGTTACCCAATCAGCAGCCACATTTAAAAGACAGTGAAGTCCAGTGGCTGGCGTACGCAACAGGATGTTCAAGGCACCACCATTTCCATTTAAATAAATACTTTGCTACATTTTGTTAGGGCTAAAGTTGGCTTCAAACTGAAAATAACTCTACATTAACTTGATTTCACACACTGTAAAAATTCGTTCAGTGCTATTGTCCTTATAACTTAATTTTAAAAACTATATTTATTCCAATAAATTAACTTATTTTTCTTTCTTTGTTTTTTGAGTTTTCAAAAAGTAAAAAAGTGTGAATATTTTCGTAACTTAATATTTTCTATAATAAAATTAATTTAATTGGACTTCACCATAAATTGATTTTACAAAACTCATTTTAAAAGTTTATATCAGACGTATCCTTATGGACGTATCAGACGTAAAAAGACACGACCCGCCCACTACCTGCAGCAACAGAAGAACAAGCCCGGCCAAATCCTTCATCTCGTCTGTTCCAGAAGTTTATTCGAACGGGGTTTTCTACGGAGCCGGATAATACTTCACGTACCTCATGTAAGTAACTCTTTGTGTTGTTAAAAGTGAGATTTTACCCTAATTAACGTCTTTGTGCTGCACAATCGCTCTGTCGAAGAGCGCCAATTTCGAATGCGCTCTAACGTTAACGTTACCTCAAACAGTTTGTTAACTTGAGCCACTAAATTACTGTATTAATCTAACGTTACGTGTGTGTGCGCGTTGTATAAGTAATGTTGACTTTGTGTGATAGTTTAATGTTTCAGAGGTGTTTGTAACTTCTTCAAAAACATTGAGTCCGCTGCCAACGCTGTCGAAGCTACGACAGACACACGTAGCCACAGCTAACGTTAGCTAAGTTAAGTGATTACTGATTATCGTCGGTTGGATATGAATGTTAATGTGCCAGTGCAGCAGTTACTTTGGCGAGTACACAATCCACACAATCTAACCAAAACCACATTGATGAGGGAGCAAACATTTGCAACTATGAGTGTGGGCACTGTTAGCTAATGTGGATTAGCACATAGCCTGAAATACACCCACACCGCCCGCGGTTAACACACCTCAACGGTGGTGCTCAAGGTGCAGGCCCATTTCTCCTCATCCAGCGTGCTTTACACGTGTTTGTCTTAACAGGAAAACTTTGTATTTGACTGTGGCACATTCACACATCTCACACCAACACACTTTGCAGTCATTCCAGTTGTTCCACTAATATTTTGGCAAGAGAGGTTACAAGTATTTTAGGCTATCTAACCTAACAATTAGTCAATTGTGATGGTTAGACATGAGGTTGACATGATGTTTCAGATTATTTTCTAAAATAAATTCTGTGATGAACTAAAGTTACCCATTCTTGTCTTGTCCAGCAGAATCTTCATTTGTATTTTAAGTGTATTTTTTTATGGATTTTATCAGGCTTGTATTCAAAAGGCTAGATGTAACTAACTTTATTTATTTTTATTGACAGATGGGATGGCCCTGTAAATTGTGCAACACTGTGGTACCAGGAAAGAGTGACATTTTAAAGCATTATAGACTGCATCATGGGACTTTTGGACACAGCCATGCCTTGCCTTGTATTCATATAGATTGCCCATGTTCTTTTAAATCCTGGAGTTCCTTCCGCTCTCACCTCTCAAGATACCACCCAGAAGCTAAATCCTTCATCTCACCACAAGTAAGTCTTTCATTTACCTGCCCTTTGTGTCAAAACCCTGGATTTAACAACGAAAAGGATTTTTTTGAGCATATAGGTCACCATCTCAAGAATAACGAGACTGTTAAGTGTGTCTTCATAGAATGTGATCACCAAACAAATGTGTATGGGACGTTTGCAACACACAAACACAGAAAGCATACTCCACATACATCACAAGATTTCAAACCAGGGATTATTTGTGGGTTACCCGAGGAAGCACTTGATTTTGAAGCCTCTGAAGAGGATGAGGTCCACAATGATGCTAATCATGAAGGCAGTAGCACTAATGCACACTATGAAGAGGAAGATGGAAGCAGTGTAGTTGTAGAGTATATAGCATCCCTCTTGTTGAAATTAGAGAGTGTTCATAATGTTTCAGTTCGGTGCATTGATGAATTGGTTGATGATCTTCACTTCATAGCAAATTCTGCATGCATATCTTCAGTTAAAAGTATCATTGTTTCACATTTTAAGAAAAATAACCAAACCATTGATGACACTGTTGTTACATCTTTGGTGGAAGAATTGTGCAATTCCAATCCCCTAAGCTCAGCACTTAGTAGTGCTGGTCCTCTATCCTCATCGTTCAAGAGACGGAAGTATTATACAGAAAAATTTGAAGTTGTTGAGCCTGTTGAGTATGTCCTTGAACCAAATGAGAAGAGAAGTTTCCAGTATATTCCAATTCTTAAGTCTTTGATTAATATTTTGGGTAAAGAAGATCTTCGAGAAAAAGTTCTGAGTAAAGAAAAGGACAAGCCATCTACTAAATATGAATCATATCAAGACGGTACAATCTATAAAGATAATTCTTTTTATTCTGAAGAACTAAGAATTACACTTGTACTGTACATTGATGACTTCGAAATTTGCAATCCACTGGGAACTTCAAGAAAGAAGCACAAGATTACAGCTGTATACTGGGTGTTTGGCAACATTCCACACTCATCTCGGTCAACTCTGAGCTCTGTGTACTTGGCCCTTTTATGTAAAGCAGTGGACATCAAAAGATTTGGTTATGAGGAAGTGCTTGCCCCTTTGTTAAAAGACATTGCTATCTTGGAGCGTGACGGCATCTACATTTCCTCAGTAGGACAAAATGTGAAAGGAAGTGTGTTTTGCGTTGCAGCAGACAATCTTGGGGCACATTCAATTTGTGGATTAGTGGAAAACTTTTCTGGTCCATTCATTTGCAGATTTTGTCTTGGACAGCGATCAGAATATCAGATAAAGGAGGTGAGGTCTGGTGCCTTTCCGGCTCGCACCCAAGAAGCACATGCAACTCATGTATTGACTGTCAAAGAAAACCCTGCCTTGACACATTGTTTCGGTGTTAAAAAGGCTTGTCCATTGACTGAAAATCTGAGCTATTTCCACTGTGTCACTGGCTATCCACCTGACATATTACATGACGTTTTTGAAGGGATTGTTCCCTTAGAACTGGGTCTGTGCTTCAGTGTTTTTATTTCTAAGAAATATTTCACATTTAGTGAACTTAACAGTGCTATTTCACAGTTTCCATATAAGTGGTCTGACAAAACTAACTCTCCTCAGCCAGTGCCTGCTACCTTCTCCTCAAGAAACAAGATTGGAGGAAACGCGCATGAAAATTGGTCCCTCATACGACTGTTGCCATTCATTATTGGACACAAAATACCTTTGAGTGATCCAGCCTGGCTTCTGTTGATGTCTTTAAAAGACATTGTTGAGCTTGTTGTGGGTCCAGTCCATAATGAGGAAAGCATTGCATATCTTGACTCAAAAATTTCTGAACACCGACACAGATTCCAGGAAGTGTTCCCTAATGAAGAATTAATCCCGAAGCACCACTTTTTAGAGCACTATCCTGCTTTGATAAAAGCTTTTGGACCAGTTATAGCTTTCTGGACGATGCGGTTCGAAGCAAAACACAGCCAGTTTAAACGGATTGTAAGGCATACTGGCAACTTCAAGAACATTCTCCTGTCCCTGGCTACAAAGCACCAGCTTATGATAAGCCACAACCTGCATTCCACAACAGTTTTGCCTGCTCTTAGTGTTGTAAGAGTAACATCAGTTCCAGTGGATGTCCTACATGTAAATGTTCAGGAGTCAATCAGGCATATATCTCCTTCTCAGTCTCATGTTCAGCTGGCTGACACAGTCACCTATCAGGGATCGAGGTACTCAAAAGGCATGATTGTGGCCTTTGGTTCTACTGCAGGTCTTCCTGATTTTGCAGTGATTCTTCAAATTGCACTTATCGAGGAAAGAGTGTATTTTATTGTGAGAACACAGATATCCTGGTTTGATGAACATTATCGCGGATATTATCTGGAGAAGACAGACCACATAACTCTCGTTGAGCAACGATGCCTTACTGATGTATATCCTCTGTCTGCCTATATTGTTGCAGGAAAGCAAATGGTGATATTGAAGCGCCACATCTGTCTCCAACATAACTCTTCTTAGAAATGGAGCAAACTGTGAGATTCCGGGTCCTCATCGATCATGAAATCAAGAAACTCACTCTCAGCAGTGGCATGCCCTCAACTGTGAATGAGTTGGTTGCAGCTGTCAAAGAACATTTTTCCATCCCCACAGATATAAGTCTTCAATACAAAGATGAGGAATTTGATGACTTCTTCACCCTAACATCTACCAATGAGCTGAAAGATAAGTGCACACTTAAAGTTGTGTATACACCGCTGGAGTTGACGCTGACCGTTGTTCCCCAGGAAAGCACCCCAGATGCCTCTGATGTCAGCTCTCTCTGTGAGTGTACGAGTCTCAGTGGGAACTCAGTGGATACTGTCATTCCGAGTCCATCCCCCTCTGAAAGGCAGAGCCCATGGCCTGCTGTGTTTCCAATTCCAACCTTCTCACACAACACTGAACTGGCCTTAAGACAAGGAAACGAGATTTATTTAAGAGATGGCACCCCTATGACATCACCAAGTATCAAATCAGACATCCTGGAGCGCCTGGCAGAGGCCATGTTTTTCTACACAGCTTACCCCAATGATGCCCAGAGATGTGCAGTGGCAGAGGCACTAGTTGCAAAGCATCCCTGCTTAAAGGAGCCCGGATCTTTTAATGGAATTTATGGGTGGCAGGTAAGCCTAAAGTATAAGTGTGGAAACTACCGGACAAAACGGAAAGCACTTGGAAGCACTGAACTCCTGATAAACTCACTGAGAAACAAGTCAAGTGATGAGCGAAAAGCCGCTAAAAATGTCAAGAAACCAAAGAGGGCAGAGGTGAATTACTTGCCCTCACACCCACATGGTGAAACAGATGACACCCTTGAGAATCTGAGACTTGACCTAATTGCTGCCCATCAGACAAAGGACTCTGTCAGGAGCACAAATGATATGATGGCCAGAACATACAGCTGGAGAAGACAGGAAGTTATTACCAAGTCTCCTGGTGTGGCAGAATTCAAGGAAAGATGGCCTGCCCTCTTCGAACCATTCCAGGTAAGTGACTTATCATTCAGTTTTTGCTGACACTACTCACTTCTGAGAACTTTTTAGAAATTGTGACTTGGACATGAGATAGTAGATTAATCTTTAAACCCCCTTAAATAAGTCAAACATTTGCTGTCTTACAGGTAAACGAGGAGTTCCGAAGATGTACTGCAGTTTCCCTGGAAGCGACGTTTATGTCACAGCTGGACAAATACACCCCAAAGCTCCTAGAACTCTTTAGTGCCAAGGGAGGAGCAACTGGTCAACGCATCAAAAAGTTGTTGATGGATCTGATACAGGTAGGGAAAAATTGGTTACAAAGTTAAGGTACGATATTAATCAATTGAGTGGTTTTGTTTTTCAGTTTTTTCAGCATCTTGCTTATCTGGGTGGTTTTTCTTTTGTTTTGTTGTTTTTTTGTTAATTAGCCAGTTTTTTTCTAAATTGTCTCGTGTTATTACTATTAATATATTATAATGAATAAAAAAGAAAAAATAATACAGACCTACAGTAATTACAGGGTTGGAGTGAATTTACCAACAAAAATAATTTATTCATTATTGTTCTATTAACTAGGACCCAAGTGCCACTACAGTGAAGAAGAGAGATGTCACTCTGAGATGCCTCTTTGAGTATATGGGAGAGAGTGGACAGGAGCTTATCTCGGATTACTGTGTAAGTATTGTCTCAAAGCAGGTTTGGGTCAGTCTGGTGAACATGTTTAAATTGTGCGGACTGTTAAAGGATAACTCTTGCCAAATTGCAACCTAGGCTATTTTTGCTAATCTACCAGAGTCATACTTTCTTGTAAAAGCATAATTAGAATGGAAATGCCACTTTTAAGATTGACCGTATTTTCGTTTTCAGGTCAAAATGCCTTTTGAATGGGTGTGCTAGGGGCACTACAATGATTGCATCAAAATCGCTAGTTTTAAAACACTAAAGCGGCTCTACACATGAACTTGAGCATTGACAACATTGTTTGTGTACACACAGTTTACTAAAAAGAAATGTTTTGTGCGACTCACATTATCAGTTAGTGTTTACGGTGGCTAGAATTTTGACAGTCAAAAGTATTCGATCTCCGAATGTAATGAACTACATATGAGGAAATGTCATGAACTTGTAATTCCAATAAAAAGCATGATAACTTAGCTCATGGCAATTTATATGGAAACAAACTTTAGGAGCTTTCCATCTTTACTCTCCTCATGTTGCATTGCATTTGGAGATTGACAAAATTCCAGCTACCAGAAACACAAACATGTATGTATGTATGTATGTATGATCTACAGGGTATTGCACCAATGTTGTCTTAACCTAGAAGTGTGTCTATAACAGCTTTTCAGAGGATTAACTAGCGCTTAAATAATATGAATCACTGACTTGTCCAGGCGACACATAAAACTAAACATCAGTTGTCTTAAGAGTTCCTCACAGGTTGGCACTCTAGTAGACACAAACAAATGACTGGCCCTATGTCACCTAGGCACACGAAACAGCAGCCGCCACTGATAAAGTGAGTCGTACAAAACCTTTCTATAAGGCGCACTTAAAAGCCTTTAATTTTCTAATCCGGAGCGCCTTACATATGAATCAATTGGTTAATAACGCTCTGCGTTATTAAATTCGCCCGTGAACTCGCGCTCGTGTCCATCTTATGCCCGCTCTGTCACACGGCCAGTTCAACCTCGTATAAATCATGTTATGTGTGTAAGTCACGTGCCCGCTCACGACCGCTCACTCTTACTAACAGACACACAGACACACTGTCCCCCGCGCTGCTCGCGCGTCACAGAATGTTCATAAAGCGCTCCCTGTTCACAGTAACCGGGTCGTCTCATTCAAACAGCCTGCTGTTGCTGTCAGCGAGCCGCCGCACATGAATACTCATGAGTCAGGCTGCGAATGCAAGTTACGTGCCCGCCCCAGCGCGCTCACGCTTACTAAAACGCCTCACCTCCGGCGCCGCGCATTCGCTACATTCCCTTTGGCACATCTAGTGGATGCATAACGCAAACCCAGTCAAACGTTTGACTGCAGTATCTTATGCGCCTTATAATCCGGTGCGCCCTATATATGAAAAATGTTCTAAAATAGGTCATTCATTGAAGGTGCGTCTTATAGTGCGGAAAATACGGTACACAATGTTGTCAATGCTCGAGTCCATGTGTAGAGCCCCTGGTGACACTTCAAGTACAGTTTCATGTTGTGTTGAGCCTTCTTAGTGTTTTAAAAATAGTGATTTTTATGCCATCATTGTAGTGCCCCTAGCACTCCCATTCAAAAGGCATTTCGACTTCATATGAAAAAAGTCTATCTTGAGAGTGGCATTTCCATTCTAATTATGCTTTTACAAGAAAGAATGACTCTGGTAGATTAACAAAAATAGCCTAGGTTAAATTTTGGCAAGCGTTTCCCTTTAATGTGAACTGAATGAACCAGCATTTGGCAGGTAGTGGATTATTTATGCATTTATTTATTTTTCTTAATAAATGAGATTGTTTGTCTTAAATACTTTATCTTGTATCTCAAAAGGGGGCCGCAGAGACCATTGTTCATGAGGACCTGAAAATTAAGAACATGAGCATCTATGTCTGCCGTGAGCCAGATGCAGTAGGAATCATCATTGAGGGAATACCAGTCCTTACCAATCTTGGAAACCTGGCCAAAGCATGCTGCTTCCTGCTTGGGTTGACATATGCACTTAATCTTGAGTATCCATCCAAGCTTTCCAAAACATTTGAGGTGTTTCAAAGACTTTTCGTGGGACTTGAGACACTGCGCCCAAAACCAAGCCCCAAGTTCATGACCCTGAAAAACAAACTCCTTGCCTAGGCACTCAGACATGACTGTCACTGCACTTGTGAACAGCTGTTTTCTTTGTCTGTTCAACATCATTATACATTGGACATAATGGGTGTTATGTCCAATGTTATATTGGACATAATTGGACATTCAGGTTGTTGTAATGGTTTATCCTTGTCATGTTTTATACTGTACACAGGTCATACTTCCTGGTGTGAAAAAGTAATTATATTTTATACACACAAAATAGACCTGCTGTGAAGCTGCACTTTAAAAACTGGTCAGTAGGTGAGATCAGTGAGATGTTTGACTAAAGATGTTTCAAAATATTCACACACGCTGTGAAGGTATTATGCCAAGTTGAGGTCAGATGGTCATGCTTGTGACCTGTAATGTTAGTGTTATAATGTTTCAATATTATGTTCACACTGTACTGTTAAAAGGATAGTTCACTTCAAAATGAAAATTCTGTCATCATTTACTCACCCTCAAGTTGTTTTAAACCTGTATGAATTTCTTTCCTCTACAGGACACAAGGAAGATGTCTGAAGAATGTTAGTAACCGAACAGTTAACTGGACCCATTGACTTCCATATTAGAAAAAAATAAAAAGACTATGGAAGAACATTCTTCAAAATATCTTCCTTGTGTTCAGCAGAAGAAAGAAATTCATACAGGTTTAAAACAACTTGAGGGTGAGTAAATGATGACAGAATTTTCATTTTGAAGTGAACTATCGTTTTAAGGTGTTTTACTAACCTACTATTTACAAGCTGAGGTCATATTTTGTTTAATACATGAATACAGAAGTTCTTGATTGTTTATACTGTCCAGCTCATTCCCACTATTTGGATATGGCATGTGAATTGTTAAAAAATAGCAAGTGCCAGTTAACTAGATATTAAAATGTTTTAATATTATGTATGTACACACAGTAAAATATACTGTGAAGGTGTTCTTCTAACCTGCACTTTATAAGTTGAGGTCATGCTTTTTTTAATGCATGAATAGATGTTATTGATTGTTAACACTATCCAGCTCATTTTGAATTTGGTTTGTAAATTGTTACTTAATTTTAAATTTTAATTTTAAATTTTTAAATTTTGTAACATTATGTACACAGAACTGTACTGTGAAGGTGTTCCACTAACCTGCACTTTATTTGCTGAGGGCATGTTTTCTTAAATGCCTGAATACCAATGTTTATACTGTCCAGCTCATTGCTACTGTTTTGGATATGGCAATGATTTAATAAATGTTGGAAATTGACATAGTAGCAACTATTTATTTGAAGCTATTTACACTTTCAAAACAAAGAGGGTAAATTGATCAAAATTAATAAATCAGAACATTATCTACTTATTTTTTTCATTTAAGTTACCTATTTTAATTAAGTTTAATGTGTATAAAATGATGATATTTTCTACATTGATAGTACTCAATTTATTGGCTTTTTCTGAAAATGCTACTTAATATTTTTGCATACATTGAAATTCACATTATTAAGTTGTCTTTACTCAAAATATCAGTTAGTTCACTAAACTTGAAAAAAATAGTTGGAAAATGTTGTCTTAATTTTATTGAGTTAGATCCAAGTAACAGTTTTAACAGTGCAGGGGAATCAAACGCGGTTTCCTGTGTGAACGTCCTGCGTTTGACACAGCCAATAGAGGTCGTTAAAAACGCAAACAAAATGTAACGTTTCCTCTGAGGAAATGGAAACGCACACCAGAGCAACATGTTGCTGCATTTAGTTTTCATTTTAAAATTTTCTTTAAGTTAATGTTTTGCTTCTTTTAGGGACTCTGCTCTTGCTGCAGGGTCAGAATTAAAATGCTATCCATGGCGAGCAGTTTTTCTTTACTTCACCACAGTCCAGTCCCCAGAGGATCCTGGTAGAGCGAGAGGAAGACCTTCAGAAAGGTAAATTTACTTTTTAGTCTTCAGCCACAGAAGCTGCTGGAGAAACAGCTCTCAGCAATCAATAGATCAGCAGAGCAATGTTCTCTCAGCTCACTTTAAAGCTATATTTTAAAGAGGTTCTTCTCTCACATACACACTAATCCTGCTCTGTCCTTCATCATTATAGAACATGAGTTTTGGATTTGGTGAAAAGGTAAAGTGGAATCAGAGGTCCTGATGATGAGATGCAAGAACAGTATGAGTTCAAGTGCAAGAGTTCTGAGTAAAAGGTCCCACATGGAAAGAACCTATATGAGGATATATGCGCATATATGAAACCTATATGCACATATATGCTGCATATATACAGCATATATGCACATATATGATAATATATATGCTGCTTATATGCACATATATGCTGCATATATACAGCATATATGCACATATATGATAATATATATGCTGCTTATATGCGTATATATGCAGCATATAGGCAAAATTGAGGTGCATATACAGGCCATATCGGTCTCCGGTATTGCTTCTTTATATCCAAATATAAGCCCTATATGTGGATGCAAGATATGTCTCCTATATAGCTCATGACAGGATCTGGTCATTTTGTAGCTCATATCTCACTTTGGCAACTGTCATACATCATGCCTAGCTCATATTTTCTATTATCAAGGCAATAACTAAGAACTAAAAGAAAATTATGCAAGGACTTATGCATGTGCGAACACGTGAAATTGGTATCACATGTAATTGGCATGTTATGGAATTTAACAATTAAGTGAGAGGAGATGGAAAGCTATGATGTTTTCCTGAAACATTTACAAGGTCAATTCTTTCTTGTATAAAGATAGTGGAAAAGAAGGAAATGTATAACAAAATGGTTTGTTGTTTTTTTTGTCACTTCCAGATTCACATTACAGCTCATACACATCCACACATTCACCATTACATCCACCAAATGCAATGCAAAATGCAATGTTTTCTGTATTGTCTTAATGCAGTTTCTAGATGAATTTGGCTGAAAGATCATTAGTCTAAATGTAGCAAAAAAAACAAAAAAAACCCAAAAGTACATAGAACATACATTCAAGTAATCATCATCATCCCACATCTATCTGAGCATTTCACTGTGGTTAATGAATGTCAACATTTCTGTTCAGTTTTTGTCTTATTTTTGTTCTTTAACTATTTGATTGTTCTTAAGTTAATAAATAATGTAAATTTCTACATTTTGGGCTATTATTTATGTTGCCTAGTAGCTGTGGATTTTTATAATTTTGCTAATCGGGCGGTAGAGCGGGTTGGCCGTTAATCGGAAGGTCGGGGGTTCAATCCCTGGCTCCCCCTGGTTGCGTGTCGAAGTGTCCTTGGGCAAGATACTGAATCCCGAATTGCCTCTGGCGGCTGTTCCACCAGTGTATGAATGAGTGTGACTGGTGAATGCAGATGTAGTGTAAAAGCGCTTTGAGTGGTCGAAAAGACTAGAAAGGCGCTATACAAGTACGGAGCATATAGGTAAACATAGGTGCACTGATATAGGTACACATATAGGTACATGTATGCACTGATATAGGTACACATATAGGTACATGTATGCACTGATATAGTCCTCCATGCACGCCAAAGTTAGTCATGGAGTTCCTCAAGGATCTGTCCTCGGACCAATCCTCTTCACTTTATATATGCTTCCCTTGCAGATGATACTCAGTTATATCTATCGATCAAACCAGATGAAACTCATCAGTTAGCTAAACTTCAAATGTGCCTTCAGGATGTTAAAACCTGGATGACCTGTAATTTTCTAATGTTAAACTCAGATAAAACTGAAGTTATTGTTCTGGGGCCTAAGCACCTCCGTGACGCATTATCTAAAGATATAGTTTCCCTGGATGGCATCGCCTTGGCCTCCAGCACCACTGTGAGGAATCTTGGAGTTATCTTTGATCAGGACATGTCGTTTAAGTCTCACATTAAGCAAATTTCAAGGACCGCCTTTTTTCACCTACGTAATATTGCGAAAATCAGGAACATCCTGTCTAAAAATGATGCAGAAAAACTAGTCCATGCATTTGTTACTTCTAGGCTGGATTACTGCAATTCCTTATTATCAGGCTGCTTGAAAAAGTCCATTAAGACTCTTCAGCTGATCCAGAATGCTGCAGCACGTGTTCTGACAGGAACCAGGAAAAGAGATCACATTTCTCCTGTTTTAGCTTCTTTGCATTGGCTTCCAGTAAAATCCAGAATAGAATTTAAAATCATTCTTCTTACCTACAAAGCTCTTAATGGTCAGGCACCATCTTATCTTAAAGAGCTCATAGTACCTTACTACCCCACCAGAGCACTGCGCTCCCAGAATGCAGGGTTACTTGTGGTTCCTAGAGTCTCCAAAAGTAGACTAGGAGCCAGAGCGTTCAGCTATCAAGCTCCTCTCCTGTGGAACCAGGTTCCAGTTTGGGTTCAGGAGGCAGACACCATCTCCACATTTAAGAGTAGGCTTAAGACTTTCCTCTTTGATAAAGCTTATAGTTAGGGCTGGCTCAGGTGAGTCCTGAACCATCCCTTAGTTATGCTGCTATAGGCCTAGACTGCCGGGGGATTTCCCATGATGCACTGAGCTCCTCTCTCCTCTACTTCCTCTCCCTCTGTATGCAACCTTATCCCATTATTGCATGTTACTAACACAACTTCTCTCCTTTCTGGTAGTTTTGTGCTTTCTCGTCTCTCTCCTCTCTCCTATCACTTCCTGCAGGTTTTCTGGCTCTGGAGCTGTGGAGTCTGGATCTGTGGTTGCGGGTCACCTGCTGCCCCCGTGTTCCTGCTCGACACCCTCTGCTGCAACGACTATTGTTACTTGTCCTATTGTTATTATTGTTATTATAATCATTAACATTACGACTGTTACCATTAACACTATTATAAATATCTGTACCATTTTTCATTTAGTCTATAGCAACATCACCTTTACTGTCTGTACCTCTGTGTGTATATTGTGTAGGCTGCCTCCCTCCCCTCTCTCTCTCCTTACATCCCTCTCTCTCTCTCTCTCTCTCTCTCTCTCTCTCTCTCTCTCTCTCTCTCTCTCTCCCCTCTCTCTCTCTCTCTCTCTCTCTCTGCCGCCCACCCTGAGCCATGGTTCTGCTCGAGGTTTCTGCCTCTTAAAGGAAGTTTTTCCTTGCCTCTGTCTCCTAGTGCTGCTCTTGGTGGGAACTGTTGGGCTTCTGTAAATAGCATCATAGAGTACGGTCTAGACCTGCTCTTTTATGAAAAGCGCTGTGAGATAACTGTTGTTGTGATTTGGCGCAATATAAATAAAATTGAATTGAATATAGGTACACATATATGCATATATGTACATATAATATAGGAAAACGGCCAATTGTCAAATATATTAAAAACCTATATTAAAACATATATGTTTATATAGGTTCTTTCCGTGTGGGGTAATCCAATGTTGCCTGTTCATTATTGTGCCTTTATAATAATGCTGACGATGAGTTTGCATACTCATTCTTTTTAGTTAAATAATGCATGATGCAGTTGGATAAGCCCTGAGTCTAGCTTCTGTGTCAGCAGGCCTTGCTAGTTTATTTCTTGTTGTCTGACGATTTTCTACATACAAACCATGAACTTCCTGCCTCTTCTTTCAGGCTGTTGAGCACCATTGGCCACTGACTTAGAGACGTCAGACATTTTGTTTGATTTCCCTTTAACAAACACATGATCTCTAAAAAACACTTTTGAAAACACGCACATGTTGTTGACATTTCATGTTAGTCATTGTCTGTCATATATTTAGTAAATGCTTTCTGTTGCAATTTCTCTAAAAAAATATGATTCCTCTTGTCAGTAAAACTGTGTGCATAACCCTTTATCAACAACCACGTCATGGAATAGGAGCCGGGTCATGACAAAATGAAATTTTGAGTGACATCTGAGTGCAAAACAACTACTGATAATAAAAACAGAATGAAATGAAAGGGCTTCTAGAGTAACTGTTGAACACCAGGAGTAAGTAAATGCTCGAAAAGATAGATGCATTGTCTCAGCTCAAACCAGTTGTGGGTTGGATTGTTATGAGGCCACGAGAGTTTTGAAGTACAACAAAGAGTGCTCAGAGAGGAGCTTCCAGTGCAATGGTTCTCATTTTTTCCTCTCTTTAACAGTCCAGTTACATCCAGATGAAGCTTTGTGTTGAACACATCACTGTTGGTATCTAACAGCAGCCATAAGTTTAATTCCAAAAACTTGATTTTAATGTTTTATCATTAAAAACAATTCATGTCCTCTGTGTTAATACAACTGACATCCTGCAGTTCATCTCATCACCACCTAGAGGCGCCACATCACCA